AGAAGCGGGTTTAGGCTCTTAGAAAAGAGTTAAGCAGGAAAGATAGATCGGGGCTTTAGGGTCTGCCTGCAAAGACACCGAGGTCGTCCTGTTGGAAGAAGGGTCTGCCCATGCCCGCCCACAATCAAGCAAGCGAGAAGGCATTTTGTCATGTTGGGAGCCAAAACTAAGAACAAAGAATCTTGTGACTAGGCGAGGCCTTATCTGCATCCTGCATCTTGTTAGCCCCCTAGCAGTCAGCCCAGCCCAGAGTTACAGTTCCCTCCTTCACTCCCACTCCCTCTAACCCTTACCACTCCTCACCCCACCAGCTAAGAACCAATGCGCCTGTGACAGATACTCTCCCGCCCAGCTAGCCCTGCCCCCCTTTGTTAGCCCTGTATAAATACTCTTGCTGCTCAATAAAATTTTGAGGCTTGATCAGAATACTGTCTTGCCTCCATTCTTTTCTCCCGCCCATGTTTTCTTTCAGGTAAGGGCCTCCTCGGGTTCCGCGCAATAACTAGGTCCTGCGGGTCGGGACAGGGGACAACACTATTGGCTCACAGGACAGACCTAGGGTATCAGATTGTATAAAACTGGGTATGACTCAGGATTATATTTTACTATACAGGTTAAGGACCCTCCCAGAAAAGCTCACCCTATAGGGCCCAACAAACCACTTCTAATTCCAGGACTACCTCAAAGTCTTACATCTGAGAGAACTCCTGTTTCCCAGGCAACCCCGACTCCGGCTCTAGCCTCTTCAGGTAGTAGCCTAACAGCTATTAAACCCCAGGCATTTGACCAGCTACAACCAGAACCCGAAGGAAAATTAATAACTATGTTAACAACAAAACACAAGGACTTAAATAAGACCTCCCAGACATAGGGCAGGATTGTTGGTTGTGCCTAAACCCAAAACCCCTTATTATGTCGGGGTAGGAACTCCCTTAAACCTAACTGAGCTCAGCAGCACACATGACTGTGAATGGGAAACTCCTCGACTCACCTTGGGAGACATACGAGGAAAAGGAACTTGCCTGATTTCAAAAAATTATTCCAAGCTGTTGACACAGTCACCTTACTTCGATAACTGTAATTGTACTATCAAAGTATAGAACTACCTCAGGGAGTAAATACTATAAGGCTCCAAATAATACTTGGCTAGCATGTGATAGTGGGCTCACTCACTGTGCTGCAGCTGTTCTTTTCAACTCAAGTGAGGCTAATATTTGTATCCTAGTCTTTGTGCTCCCCCAAGTGTCCCTTTACAATGGGCCGGAAGGCAGACTCCACTTCTTCCATCAGGACAGGTTACAGAAACGGGCCGTACCAGTCTTAGTACTCCTTCTTGTAGGACTCGGAATAGCGGGTTCAGCGGTGGTAGGCACTACTGCTCTCATCAAGGGAAAACATGAATTACGTGAAATTGGAATACAGATAGATAAGGATATCAAGACCTTAAAAGACACCATCAGCAGGCTGGAACTTCAAGTCGATTCACTAGCGGAAGTAGTCCTCCAAAATAGAAGAGGTTTAAATTTATTATTCTTAAAACAAGATGGGTTATATATGGCGCTGGGTGAAACCTGTTGCTTCTATGCCAATAACTCTGTAGTAATTAGAGAAGGCTTATGACTAGTACAGAGAAATTTGGATGCCAGGGAAAAACAGAGACTAGAATCAAATAACTGGTTTCATAGGATGTTCAAATGGTCACCATGGCTAACAACTCTTCTATCTACTGTAGCTGAACCTTTAATCATCCTCCTCCTTTTGTTAACTTTTGGCCCATGTTTCCTTAATTTCTTGTTTACATATATAAGGAAAAAAATTAATTCCATTAGACTTTTAGTATTACAGACTAGAGGCTATGAACAAATTCCTCATGAAGAATCAAAGATTTGATCTTTGCTAAGGCCAGTGGGGAATGTGGTAGCTGAAGAATAACCACTTGAGATTTATTACTTGTAGAAAAATTACTGTTTGACTATTGCCATGGCAACTAAAGGCTTTTGATCATAGGGACATAACATTCTGATAACAAGCTTTCTGTTTCTGTACTCCCCGCTTACACACCCCAACCTATAGGTTGACAGGTAGTGAATAGGAGAAAAATAGACCTTTGTGTTCAGATAGAATAAAGAATGGGATTTTGGGCTTAAAAACCCTGTACCTCTACATTTCGGGGCTGCTTAATTTGGGGTCTGCGTACCCCTGGCAGACCTAGCTGGCTGAATAAAGAGTGTGATTCCTATGACTCACTAATTCCTGGTGGTCCGTGTGTCTTTCAGGGGCTGGCGGCTACAACAGTATTTACTTTTCCTTGTCTAGGGACTGAGGTGGCACTTCAGCAAGAAACCCAAGACCCTACCCTGACTGAGGCAGAAAAGGAAAGAGCTCCATAAACTCCTGCAGGCAGGGACTATGGCCATTCTCAGCAGAAAGCAGATACAGAAGAAGAGACCTCCGGTCCCTCAACATCCATGCTAATAATAAGGGGGTTCATGGCTCTTAGAAAAAAAGGTAGGCAAGAAAGTTAGTTAGGGAGTTTCGGGTCTGCCTGCAAAGACACTGAGGTCATCCTATCTTAGAAGGGGTCCGCTCCAATCTGCCCACAATTTAAGTAAGCCAGAAGGCATTTTTTTTAACTCACACAAAGTAGGAAGAAATTTAGGTACTACTTTCAGCCAGTCACTCACACCTACGCAATCGACTCACCTGAGTCTCTTACCATAATTATAATATGATGCATATGCCCAGAAGTTTATTAATATTATAACAGACTGAATTCTGGGAATAAAATGTGCAGAAAGCAAAATGATGAATCATTGAGTCCTGTCGATCTTAGTTGTCAATCAAAGAAGCCCACTCCTCTAAGAAAAGTAACCACCCTCAGCAAAAGTGATAAAAACCCTGAAGTCTTTGTTACCAGGCCTTTTGAGCCACACTTTTCTTGCTCAGGCCCACTTCCACATCTGGAAGTGAGAGAGGAGAGGGGGTATCTGAAAGTAAAAATAGATGCAAAGGAAAGGGCCTGCAGAAATAACCGACTCAGCTGGTTAAAACTGCTCTCTCTCTTCCCCCATTCTTCCCTATGTTCTTCAGTTAACATGTTTTCCACAGCTACTTCCCCCACCTCAATGATTGTCCAGCCCCTTCTCTATATCTGTAGCTGTATAGGAATGTCAAGACTGTGGAACTGTTTGCTGTGTTACAGTGAGAGCTCAGCCTTTGGATAAGGAACCTTCTGAGCGGGCGCAGACATCAATGAATGCTGCTCCCTGTCTGTAAACCTAGGAGTGCCATCTCTTTGTTCAAGAATCCGATAAAGGTGCTGATAACATCAAGGGTCTGGAAATTCCTCCCCTGCAGCCCCCCACCCGAAGCTGCCCCTCTCCACTTTGAGTAAGGAGGGACATGTAAACCTCAGACAAAAGAATCACACACCCCTTGCATGGACACTGCAAGGGTATATAAGCTGTAAGCAATCTAACCATGCCCCATGCTCTCCGCCAACATTAAATTCTTCCTCTAACAAAGTTGTCTGAGTGTCTGAATTCCTCCATCGGCCGGCATTAAATTCTCCTTCCTCTAACAAAGTTGTCTGAGTGTCTGAATTCCTCCACTGGATGTCACTTCCCGCAACAGATTTGTACTTTCCCTTCTAATAAAACTTTTCTTTTCTACTGTAGTTCAGTGTCTTGCTCAATTCTTTGTTCAAGACATCAAGAACCTTGACAATGCACCGGGAGAGGACACCACTCTCCAGTAACAATGGTGTAGAAAAACACTGTAAATATATGGGTATTTTTATAAAACTTTAGCTGAATACATTAGTAATAATAATACAGTAGTGATTATAATAACAATAACTTTGAATGAATAAAAGTAAGTTGGAAACCTGGTCAGAACGAAATGGCTTAGTCTTATTTTTATTGATTCTTCCCTCTACATACAACTATAAACCCTGGAAATAATGAAAGAGGTAACCAAAGGAAACTCTGGTAGGTGGTAACAAAGAGGTAAACTCATTTGGACCCCAGAAATGGAAATACAGTACAGTGGCAGGAAGTCTTATCTCTCCTCCCCCAAAAAAGAAAGCTACCTATGTTTCCAACCGGCAATCTTGCAACAGAAGGCAACCAGAGAAGGTTCAGTCCTTAATCTACAGAAATCACTCCTACAACATCAGATTAATGTAGGAAGGAGGCAAGAGAATTAAAAATGTTAATCAAACTGTCAAGGGTGTGGCTCTGGGCAAAGATATGCTAACTGCCAACTTCTGCTTCTGTAATCTGCTTGCTTGTTTCATGTTAACTAGGGTGTGGTTAATCTGTTTGCTTGTTTGATGTTAAACCAGGGTATGGTTCTAGGCTTTATAAACTGCCTCTTTTGGGAGCTCAGGGCTGATCTCCTCTAACCCTGCGTGGTAGAGAGTCAGTCGCCGGCTGGCTAATAAAGGCTCATAATTAATCTCAATTGGCTCCGTGGGCCTTAGAATTGTTCACACCATAACAGAAATTTTCCTGTCCTGCATCAAGATGTTAGTTCCCTATTGCTGCTATAATAAATTACCACAAATTTAGTGGCCTAAGAAAATGCAAATTTATTATCTTCCAGTTCCGAACATCAGAAGTCTGAAATTGGTTTCACTGAATTTTCTCAAGGTGTCAGCAGGACTAGGGCTGCATTTCTTCTGGAGGTTCCAGATGGGGATCGTTCTCCATGCCTTTCCCATCTTCTAGAGGCCACCCACATTCTTTGGCTCCAGACCTGTTTCTTCCATCTTCAGAGCCAGCAACATCAGACTGAGTACTTTTCTTGCTTCCATCTCTTTCTCTATTCTGCTTTCACCTTCCATTTAAAAGGATCTTTGTGATTATACTGGATGCTCCTAGAAAATCCGGAATGATCTCTCATCTCAAGGTCAACTGATTAACATTTAAATTGCATTTTTAACTTTTGCCATTTATTATAACATATTCATAGGTTCTGGGATTATGATGTGGACATTTTGAGGGGCCATTATTCTGCCTACCACAGTCCACTCTCAGGCCCACAAAGAGAAACAATTATTCCACATGCAAAATACACTCCATCCTATAGTCCTCCAAATTATTAACCCATTATAGTATCAACTCAAAGCCCAAAAATCTCATGTAAATCTTACCAGTTCAAAAGTTTAAAATTATATTATCTAAATCAGGTGTGTGTGAGGCTCTGGGGATGATCCATCTTGAGGCACAGTTTCTCTTTATTTTTGAACCTGTGAAACTCAAGAAACAAGTTATCGTCTTTCAAAATGAAATTGTGGGACAGCACTACGATAACAGTTATAGAAATTTCTATTCAAAACAGAATAAAATAAGAGGAAAAAAAAAAGTCAGCTGTCCAAAGCAATTTTAAAGTCAAGCCAGGCAAATTCCATTTTGTTTCAAGGTCTGGGACTAATCCTCTGTGCCTCAAAGCTCAGCCCTCTCAGCTAGTGGTTTTGCCCTCAAAGTCATCCTTTCCTTTTCTTAAAGGGGAGTTTAATCTGCCTATTTCTTGCCTATAGAATTTTGGGAGTCTAACAACCACCTTTCATTTTATATTTTCTTTGTACTTTTAAATCCAACACACAATGTTTCTACTGGTGTAACATCAAGAACCTTATGAGTCTCCAATGCAGTCATGGGGATTCACATTATTAGACAACAGGTTCCCTCATAGATCTTTCCTAGAGCTCAGTACCACAAGCAAGGGGGATAGATTGGGAGCCCACTATCAGTAAGTGGCCAGGAGAAGCATTCACCTGCTTTGTGGGCCTGACACTCACTTCCCTGTGCAGAAATAGTAGGGCAGGGGAAAGCCACTGGCAGAGGGAATCCCACAACAAGTACCTAACCTGGGAGGCACTTCCTGTTCCCCAAAAGCAGGAGAGATCCTGCCACAACAGGGCCGCAACCAGAAAATCTTTGTTCCTGTGATCCTGAAACACCCCACCTCCACTGAGTGACAATAGACTAACAAGTCTAGGGAAATCCTTCAAGCCTCCAGGTAGCAACAGCAGGTACCAATGGGAACCTGGAAGCATCAGCTAAACCAAGCCAATTAAAATAACAACACCATAAAGTGTCTGAAAATTAAACTGTCATTGGGACCACAGCCCACAAAAATATACTAAACTCAAAAAAGGTAATTGTCTGCTAAAATAGAAATTTTAAATAGAAATCAGAGTCTTCTAATATAATAGACAAAATGTCCAGGATATTAAAAAAAAGAAAAGATCCATCATACCAAGAACTAGGATAATAACAACTTGAATGACAAAAGACAATCAAATGACACCAAAACTGAGATAAATCGGATGTTGATATATTTTGGCAAGGACTTTAAGGGAGCCATCATAAAAATTAATAATACATGAAAAAATAGAAAATACCAAAAAATAAATAGAAGTTATAAAAAAGAACAAAAGAAAAAATATAGAATTGAAAAATATAATAACAGAAATTAAAAACTTGCTGGTTGGACTCAGCAGTAGAGATGATAGAGGATGAAATCTATGATCTGAGGACAGATCAACAGAATTTATCCATATAAATAATAATAAAAAAAATTGACTGAAAAAAATAAACAGAGCCTCAGATACCTGTGAGACAATAAGAAAAAATTCAATCTCCATATTATCAGAGTCTCAGAAAGAGAGAAAAAAGAAATCTGAAAGAGTATTTGAAGAAATAATGGATGAAAAGTCTCATTTTAATAAAAGATATAAACCTACAGATTCAAGAAACAGCAATAACCACAAGCAAGGTAAACCCCCCCAAAACCACAAAAACACTTATTATAGTTAAACTTCTTAAAACTAAAGACAAAAAAAATATTGAAAACATCCAGAAAGAAATGATGCCTTACCCCATTTGAAACCATGGTAGCCAGGAAGAATTGGTACACTTTTGGAATGCTGAAAAAAAAAAACCTGTCAACCAAAAATTCTATATCCTATAAAATATCCCTCAAAAATGAAGAAGGAAAGATATTCTCAGCTGAAAGAAAACAAATAATTTTTCACCTTAAGACATATCCTTGAAAATTGGCTAAAGGAAGATCTCAAACAGGAAAGAAATTATAAAAGAAGAAATTATAGAACATCAGGAAGAAAGAAAGAACAACAGAAAGTCAGAAATGCACAAACAATAGATTATCCTTTTTCTCATGGGTTTTATAAATCATATTTAAAGATTGAAACAAAAATTATAATATTATCTGATGCACAAGACAATGATTTATAAAATTAGGGAAGGTAAATAGACCTAAATGAAAGAAGGTTTCTACATTTCACTTTAAGAGGTAAAATTTTGATACCAGCACACCGTGATAAGTCAAATATATATTTTGTAATATCCAGAGCAACCAAAATGAAAACTATACAAAGAAACACACTCAAAAACATTATAAATATATCAAAATGAAATACTAAAAATTATTCAAGTAACACATAGGAAGAGAATAACAGAGAAACGGGAATGAGAATCAGAGAAAACAAACAGGAAATAAATAATAAAATGGCAGGTTTATGCTCAAAAATATCAACAATAACCTAAATGTAGATAGTCTAAATATACAATCTGAAAAAACAGAGATGGGAAGAGTAGATTTAAACAAAAACACACTTTAACTACATACTGTTTACAAGAAACTCATTTCAAATTCAATGGCCTAAGTAGATTGAAAGTAAAGAAGTAGAAAAAAATTTACTATGTGAACATTAGTTTTTAAAAAGCAGGAGTGGCTATATTATCTAATAATTATTAGAGGCAAAAAGAAATATTACACAATGATAAAAAGAATCAATCCACCAGGAAGTCATAAAACTCTAAATGCATATGAACCAAAAACAGTGCCTCAAAATACACGAAGCAAAAACTGATAGAGCTGAAAGAAAAAATGGATAAATCAACAATTATAGTTGGGATTTCAATACCTCTTTCTCAGCAACTGTTAGAACTGCTAGACAGAAAATCAACAAGAATATATATTTGAATAACACAGTCAACCAGTAAGGTCCTATTGATATTTATATAGAACACTCTGTCCAACAACAACAGAATATACCTTGTTTTCAAGTGTCCACTGAATAGTCACCACAAACATACCATATCCAGGGTCATAAAACAAACTACAATAAATCTAAAATAATAAATATTATACAGATTGTTCTCTCTGACAATATGTACTCACACTAGAAGTCAATGACATAAAGGCAATAAGGAATTTTATTAAAATATGCAAATTAAGCAACCCAACTCTAAATAACTTATGGGTCAAATAAGTCTCAAAGAAAAAAAATACATGGAACTAAATGAAAGTGAAAATACAACATATCAAAATATGTGAAATGCAGCTGAAGTACTGCTGAAAAGGAAACATATAGCACTAAATGCTTATATTAGAAATAAATGATCTCAACTCAATAATCTAAGGAATGAAAAAAGGAGGAGCGAAATAAACCTATAGCAAAAAAATAATAAAGAGCAGAAATCAATGAAATTAAAAACAGAAAAGCAATAGCTGTCATCACCAATTCAATGCCAACAGGAGTTCCCCGTTTGGGGTGTGTCGAGGAAAGAAATTGTTTTTATGCAAACAGCTCAATTGTGAAAGAGCTCAGCTGTGGAACACATGGCCGTGGAACAGCTTGCATGAGGTGGCCTGGGCAAGGAGACTCTGGTGTTACATCTCTGGTTTTACAGCTTTGGTGAGATAGTTCTGCTCTGCACTGATATTACAGCTGGCAAATTTAGTCATCTATGGAAACCGAAAGTGTGTTCCACCAAGACAGCGATGAAGTTGGTCCAAAAATCAAGTCCTGATTGGTTGGATTGGAGCTGCTCTGATTGATCAGTGAAGATGCCAATGAGAATGTAGTTGTACAGCTTCCTTTGGACAGGGAAAGTCTCAATCCTATTCGTCAAATTTTGACCCTAGGAGCAACTTTATAAGAGTCAACTCAAACAGCAAGAGCACAGGGCAGGAGGCTTGGCAGCCCACTCTGCAGCTTTTCTTTGAAATGCAGTGTGTATGAGAGACCTCTATAAACAATGGCTACTAGCCACTGGTCATGAATCTGAGCCCGATTAACTACAAGAAATCCTTCCTGGCGGATATATTCTTCTCAGAGTTAACAAGATAAATTAATAAAATAAAAATCTGGTTCTTCAAAAAAATCAATAAAATCGTCAAACTTCTAGCAAGACTGACACAGATGAAAAGAGAGAATACACAGATCACCAATATCAAAAATAAAAGATGGAACTCACAAAAGATCCTGCAGTCATTAAGAAGATACTAAAAGACTACTGTCTTTTTATGCTCAAAAATTCAACTTAGAAGAAATGAGTCAAAGAAGAAGGTTCAAAGTAGAATTAAAAAGAAATTTTAAATCTGTAATTTAAAAGCTTCTGAACGAGAAGTCTTCAGGCCTTGATAGTTTTACCAGAGAATTCTCCCAAATATTTAAAGAAGAAATAACACTAATTTTGTAAAATCTACTCCAAAAAAAAAAAAATAGAAAAGGAATTTGGACACAAAATTTCTTAACTAATTACTAGCAAATCAATTCCAATATTAGCAAGTGGGATTTATTGCAGATATGCAATGTCATCAATTATACCAACAGACTAAAGAGAAATTCATGTGATCACGTCAGTAAATGCAAGAAAAACATCTGACAAAATCCAACATTCATTCTTAATAATTTCAAAAACAAACAAAAACCAACCAAACAAAAAAAACAACAACCTTCTCAATATGTTAGGAATAGAGGGGAATTAGTTTAACTTGATAAAGAGGATTTATAAAAACACACAACTTAGATCACACTTAATGGCGAAAGACTAGATTCTTTCCCTTAAAATGTCTACTCTTACCACTCTTATTCAACATAGTGCTGGAAATTCTAGCCACTGCAAGAGGAAAGAAAAAGAAATAAAACTAAAGAACTGCCAATTGGAAAGGAAGATATAAAGTATCTCTATTTGTAGATGACATGATTGCCTACATAGAAACATTAAGGAACCTGAAGGAACAAGAAAAAATCCAGAACTAAGAAATGAGTTCAGCGATGTCTCAGGATATAAGATCAATGGACAAAAATTAATCACATTTCTGTATACTAATGACAAACAAATGGAAACTGAAACTTAAAATGCAACACTATTTACAATCATTCCAAAGAAAATTAAATACTTAATTATAGACGTAACAAAACATGTACAGGATCTGTATGCTGAAATTACAAAATGTTGATGGAAAAAATCAAGAAATATCTAAAAAATATAAAGACATATTGTGTTCATGAATTGGAAAGACGTCAGCTGTCCCCAAATTGATTTATAGATTTAATGCAATTTTTATCAAAATCCCAGTGAGGTAGTTTGTAGACATAAGCAAGCTTATTACAAAATTTATATGGAAAAGCACAAGCCCTAGGATAATAACAAGAATCTTGACAAAGGAAAATAAAGTACGAAGAATCACCCTATCCAATATTAAGGCTTACAATATAGGTACAGTAATCAAAGCTATGAGATATTATACAGCTTTGTGGAGGGACAGACACACATAGATCAATGGAACAGAATAGAGAACCCGAAGACAGACTGACAATATGCTCAACTTACTTTTGACAAAAAGTCCAGAACTAAGAAATGAGTTCAGCAATGTCTCATAATATAAAATCAATGCACAAAATTAATCAAATTTCTGTGTACTAACAATGAACAAGTGGAAACTGAAATTCGAAAGCAATTCAATGAAGGAAGAATAATCTTATCAACAAATAGTGCTGGAGCATTTGGGTGTTCACAGTGAAAAATAGATTTCCTCCTAAGAAGACCAGGTGCTGTAGGTGTAAAAAATTAAAAAATAAGGGATTGTAAGCTGACAAAGTCCTTGCAAACTCTGAGGTCAACCAAGGGTTGCCTCACCTAAAAAAAAAAAAAAAAAAAAGAAGAAGAAGAAAAAAAAAAGAAAATTTCTAGGTCTAGGCTGAGGCAAAGATCTTAGACTTGACACAAAAGCACAGTCCATTAAAAAAAAAAAAAAAACTAAGAAGTTGGACCTCATCAAAAAACTCTTGCTCTATAAACAAGCTGGAACTAAAATATTAGAAAAGAATAACTGTAAAATGGGGTATGAAACAATAATCTGAGGTCTTTTATTTCTTGAGAGAAGATTATTGATCATTAACTTTAGCCTTTTTAAGCAAACAAGTTAAAATATGAAGACAAAAATATAAAACTGTAGTTATTTGTAGATGCTATTATGATGTACATAGAAAACCCAAAAGAATCCATGGATAAATTTTTAAATAAATAAATTATTTTAGCAAAGTTGCTAGATAAAAGGTCAATATAGAAATAATTATATATATATGCAAAAACCATTAATTTAAAAAATTTAAATGATACCATAAACGAACTCATAAAAAATTAAATATGAAGGAATAAATCTAACAAAAGCTATGCTGGAGCTCTACACAGAAACACAACACCTAAATAACTGGAGGAATATATCATGTTCTTAGATTGGAGAATTTAATATAACAAAGATGTTAATCATCCCCACATTGATCTATGATTCAATGCAATCAATCATAGCCGAAATCCCAACAGTGTTTTTAGAGGAATTTGACAAACTAATTCTAAAAGTTCTTAGAATAAAAATGAAATGGCCTGCGAATAACTAAGGTATGCTTTAAGAAGACAAGGTGAAGGGATCTGTTCTACCAATAAAAGTTATTTTAAGCTGTATGACAGAGTGGTCCTGGTGCAAGGATAGAGAGACTAGTGGAGCAAAATAGAGACTCATGCTTGCATGAGCTCTTGATTTTATGACAAAGTTGTCATTGTAGGCTTTAGAACAACGGATGGAGTTTTCAATAAATGGTACTGGGGGAATAGG